GCAATTGCTCTGATTAAATAAAGTATCTTCAATTTATTGATATGGAGTGGAGTGCAATTATGCAACTACTCTTATATTTAATAATTTTTATTTTCCTATCGTTATATATGTCGTGTGAAGCTGGTGGAAAGAGACATGTTTAGGTAATCAACTTTACTTTGCAAGAGATAGAATCGTGGAGAATTATTTTTGGACTATTGGACAGATTCAAGAGCCTCAATTTGGGAATGTTGGACGAATAATGACTAAAGTTAACGCACTTCTTACAACGATCGATGACATTTACGATATCTATGGCACTCTTGAAGAACTTCAACTTTTCACTGTCGCGTTTGAAAAGTAAAGACCCCCACACTTATATCTTTTCTACTTCAATTTCTTGTTCTTTCTATATAAAAAAATGATAAAAAATAACTAATTTTTTTTTAAAAAACTTAAAATATAATTAATTGATCGCTGATTTTCTTGTTACTCTTGTCTATATATAAATGTTGCAGTTGGGACGTAAATCGTCTAGATGACCTCCCCGAGTACATGAGGTTGTGTTTTCTTGTTGTGTACAATGAAGTCAATATCATTGGATGTGATATTCTCAGAAGTAAAAATATCAACGTAATACCTTACCTCAGAAAATCTGTAAGTATATATTATCATTATGTTTTTTGGATATTCAATTTATTAAGAAATTTTTAATAGATTCACGAATTTTGTAGGATTTCTTTTGGACATTTTTTTGTGTGTAAAATATACTTTTTTAAAAATGTTTTATTTATATACCTATAGTTTTTTATATATATTCTCAGTTTGTACTTTCCTATGGTTGATTTCAATGGTTGTTGGAAACATTTTCTGATTATTTACTTAATGGCTGCAGGTTTATATATTTTAGATTATTTTTCAAAATTGTAAAAATATTAATACTGTTAGCTTATACTTTTACCATATTTTTTTGAGAAATTTTTAAAATACCACTTTTTATGTGCCACTTTTCAAAAATATCATATTTTCAAAATTTTTGCMAAAATGTCACATTTTTCAAAAAAAAAAATTTTATTTATGTTTGGGTTAATTATGTT